CCTCTGCACCTTGTTCTCAGACTTCTGCACTTAGTCCCCAGACCTCTGCACCTTGTTCTCAGACCTCTGCACTTAGTCCCCAGACCTCTGCACCTTGATCTCAGACCTCTGCACTTAGTCCCCAGACCTCTGCACTTAGTCCTCAGACCTCTGCACTTAGTCCTCAGACCTCTGAACTTAGTCCTCAGACCTCTGCACCTTGTTGTCAGACCTCTGCACTTAGTCCCCAGACCTCTGCACTTAGTCCCCAGACCTCTGCACTTAGTCCCCAGACCTCTGCACTTAGTCCCCAGACCTCTGCACTTAGTAGTCAGACCTCTGCACTTAGTAGTCAGACCTCTGCACCTTTCTCAGACCTCTGCAACTAGTCCCCAGACCTCTGCACCTTGTTCTCAGACCTCTGCACCTTGTTCTCAGACCTCTGCACCTTGTTCTCAGACCTCTGCACCTTGTTCTCAGACCTCTGCACTTAGTCCCCAGACCTCTGCACCTTGTTCTCAGACCTCTGCACTTAGTCCCCAGACCTCTGCACCTAGTCCCCAGACCTCTGCAACTAGTCCCCAGACCTCTGCACCTTGTTCTCAGACCTCTGCAACTACTCCCCAGACCTCTGCAACTAGTCCCCAGACCTCTGCACCTTGTTCTCAGACCTCTGCACTTAGTCCCCAGACCTCTGCACCTACTCCCCAGACCTCTGCAACTAGTCCCCAGACCTCTGCACCTTGTTCTCAGACCTCTGCACCTAGTCCCCAGACCTCTGCAACTAGTCCCCAGACCTCTGCACCTTGTTCTCAGACTTCTGCACTTAGTCCCCAGACCTCTGCAACTAGTCCCCAGACCTCTGGAACTAGTCCCCAGACCTCTGCACCTTGTTCTCAGACCTCTGCACCTTGTTCTCAGACCTCTGCACCTTGTTCTCAGACCTCTGCACCCTGTTCTCAGACCTCTGCACCTAGTCCCCAGACCTCTGCACCTTGTTCTCAGACCTCTGCACCTTGTTCTCAGACCTCTGCACTTAGTCCCCAGACCTCTGCACTTAGTCCCCAGACCTCTGCACTTAGTCCCCAGACCTCTGCACTTAGTCCCCAGACCTCTGCACCTTGTTCTCAGACCTCTGCACCTTGTTCTCAGACCTCTGCACTTAGTCCCCAGACCTCTGCAACTAGTCCCAGACCTCTGCACCTTGTTCTCAGACCTCTGCACCTTGTTCTCAGACCTCTGCACCTTGTTCTCAGACCTCTGCACCTTGTTCTCAGACCTCTGCACTTAGTCCTCAGACCTCTGCACCTTGTTCTCAGACCTCTACACCTTGTTCTCAGACCTCTGCACTTGGTCCCCAGACCTCTGCAACTAGTCCCCAGACCTCTGCACTTAGTCCTCAGACCTCTGCACTTAGTCCTCAGACCTCGGCACTTAGTCCCCAGACCTCTGCACTTAGTCCCCAGACCTCTGCACTTAGTCCCCAGACCTCTGCACTTAGTCCCCAGACCTCTGCAATTAGTAGTCAGACCTCTGGACCTTGTTCTCAGACCTCTGCAACTAGTCCCCAGACCTCTGCACTTAGTAGTCAGACCTCTGCACCTTGTTCTCAGACCTCTGCAACTAGTCCTTAGACCTCTGCACTTAGTCCCCAGACCTCTGCACTTAGTCCCCAGACCTCTGCACCTAGTCCCCAGACCTCTGCACCTAGTCCCCAGACCTCTGCACCTTGTTCTCAGACCTCTGCACCTTGTTCTCAGGCCTCTGCACCCTGTTCTCAGACCTCTGCACCTAGTCCCCAGACCTCTGCACCTTGTTCTCAGACCTCAGCACCTTGTTCTCAGACCTCTGCACTTAGTCCCCAGACCTCTGCAACTAGTCCCCAGACCTCTGCACTTAGTCCCCAGACCTCTGCACCTTGTTCTCAGACCTCTGCAACTAGTCCCCAGACCTCTGCACCTTGTTCTCAGACTTCTGCACTTAGTCCCCAGACCTCTGCACCCTGTTCTCAGACCTCTGCACTTAGTCCCCAGACCTCTGCACCTTGATCTCAGACCTCTGCATTTAGTCCCCAGACTTCTGCACTTAGTCCTCAGACCTCTGCACTTAGTCCTCAGACCTCTGCACCTTGTTGTCAGACCTCTGCACTTAGTCGTCAGACCTCTGCACCTTGTTGTCAGACCTCTGCACTTAGTCGTCAGACCTCTGCACTTAGTAGTCAGACCTCTGCACTTAGTAGTCAGACCTCTGCACCTTGTTCTCAGACCTCTGCACCTTGTTCTCAGACCTCTGCACTTAGTCCCCAGACCTCTGCACTTAGTCCCCAGACCTCTGCAACTAGTCCCCAGACCTCTGGAACTAGTCCCCAGACCTCTGCACCTTGTTCTCAGACCTCTGCACCTTGTTCTCAGGCCTCTGCACCCTGTTCTCAGACCTCTGCACCTAGTCCCCAGACCTCTGCACCTTGTTCTCAGACCTCTGCACCTTGTTCTCAGACCTCTGCACTTAGTCCCCAGACCTCTGCACTTAGTCCCCAGACCTCTGCACTTAGTCCCCAGACCTCTGCACTTAGTCCCCAGACCTCTGCACCTTGTTCTCAGACCTCTGCACTTAGTCCCCAGACCTCTGCAACTAGTCCCCAGACCTCTGCACCTTGTTCTCAGACCTCTGCACCTTGTTCTCAGACCTCTGCACCTTGTTCTCAGACCTCTGCACCTTGTTCTCAGACCTCTGCACTTAGTCCTCAGACCTCTGCACCTTGTTCTCAGACCTCTGCACCTTGTTCTCAGACCTCTGCACTTGGTCCCCAGACCTCTGCAACTAGTCCCCAGACCTCTGCACTTAGTCCCCAGACCTCTGCACTTAGTCCCCAGACCTCTGCACTTAGTCCTCAGACCTCTGCACCTTGTTCTCAGACCTCTGCACTTAGTCCCCAGACCTCTGCAACTAGTCCCCAGACCTCTGCACTTAGTCCTCAGACCTCTGCACTTAGTCCTCAGACCTCGGCACTTAGTCCTCAGACCTCTGCACTTAGTCCTCAGACCTCTGCACTTAGTCCTCAGACCTCTGCACTTAGTCCCCAGACCTCTGCACTTAGTCCCCAGACCTCTGCACTTAGTCCCCAGACCTCTGCACTTAGTAGTCAGACCTCTGGACCTTGTTCTCAGACCTCTGCAACTAGTCCCCAGACCTCTGCACTTAGTAGTCAGACCTCTGCACCTTGTTCTCAGACCTCTGCAACTAGTCCTTAGACCTCTGCACTTAGTCCTCAGACCTCTGCACTTAGTCCTCAGACCTCTGCACTTAGTCCTCAGACCTCTGCACTTAGTCCTCAGACCTCTGCACCTTGTTGTCAGACCTCTGCACTTAGTCCCCAGACCTCTGCACTTAGTCCCCAGACCTCTGCACTTAGTAGTCAGACCTCTGCACTTAGTCCCCAGACCTCTGCAACTAGTCCCCAGACCTCTGCACTTAGTCCCCAGACCTCTGCACCTTGTTCTCAGACCTCTGCAACTAGTCCCCAGACCTCTGCACCTTGTTCTCAGACCTCTGCACCTTGTTCTCAGACTTCTGCACTTAGTCCCCAGACCTCTGCACCTTGTTCTCAGACCTCTGCACTTAGTCCCCAGACCTCTGCACCTTGTTCTCAGACCTCTGCACTTAGTCCCCAGACCTCTGCACCTTGTTCTCAGACCTCTGCACTTAGTCCCCAGACCTCTGCACCTTGATCTCAGACCTCTGCACCTTGTTCTCCGACCTCTGCACTTAGTCCCCAGACCTCTGCACTTAGTCCCCAGACCTCTGCACTTAGTCCCCAGACCTCTGCACCTTGTTCTCAGACCTCTGCACTTAGTCCCCAGACCTCTGCACCTTGTTCTCAGACCTCTGCACCTTGTTCTCAGACCTCTGCACCTTGTTCTCAGACCTCTGCACTTAGTCCCCAGACGTCTGCACCTTGTTCTCAGACCTCTGCACCTTGTTCTCCGACCTCTGCACTTAGTCCCCAGACCTCTGCACTTAGTCCCCAGACCTCTGCACTTAGTCCCAAGACCTCTGCACCTTGTTCTCAGACCTCTGCACTTAGTCCTCAGACCTCTACACCTTGTTCTCAGACCTCTGCACTTAGTCCCCAGACCTCTGCACTTAGTCCTCAGACCTCTGCACTTAGTCCTCAGACCTCTGCACCTTGTTCTCAGACCTCTGCAACTAGTCCCCAGACCTCTGCACTTAGTCCCCAGACCTCTGCACTTAGTCCCCAGACCTCTGCACTTAGTCCCCAGACCTCTGCACTTAGTAGTCAGACCTCTGCACCTTGTTCTCAGACCTCTGCAACTAGTCCCCAGACCTCTGCACTTAGTAGTCAGACCTCTGCAACTAGTCCTTAGACCTCTGCACTTAGTCCCCAGACCTCTGGACCTTGTTCTCAGACCTCTGCACTTAGTCCCCAGACCTCTGCACCTTGTTCTCAGACCTCTGCACTTAGTCCCCAGACCTCTGCACTTAGTCCGCAGACCTCTGCACCTTGTTCTCAGACCTCTGCACTTAGTCCCCAGACCTCTGCAACTAGTCCCCAGACCTCTGCAACTAGTCCCCAGACCTCTGCAACTAGTCCCCAGACCTCTGCACCTTGTTCTCAGACCTCTGCACCTTGTTCTCAGACCTCTGCAACTAGTCCTCAGACCTCTGCACCTTGTTCTCAGACTTCTGCACTTGTTCTCAGACCTCTGCAACTAGTCCCCAGACCTCTGCACCTTGTTCTCAGACCTCTGCAACTAGTCCCCAGACCTCTGCACCTTGTTCTCAGACCTCTGCAACCAGTCCCCAGACCTCTGCACCTTGTTCTCAGACCTCTGCACCTAGTCCTCAGACCTCTGCAACTAGTCCTCAGACCTCTGCACCTTGTTCTCAGACTTCTGCACTTTGTTCTTAGACTTCTGCAGTTAGCCCTCACCGGAGCTGCAGGTAGAACCACTCCTGAACTCGCTATGCATTTATAGAATTCCCACAGCGGTCCAACTCACCGGCTGTCCGTACTCCACCCAGTTCCCGTGGTCCCCCTTGTAGTACCACAGCCACTGAGTGGTCAGGATGTAATGGGGCGGCTTCGTAACTGAGGAAACCGTGGAGAGGCGGCGAACGGGGTGCGACGCCTGACTCATGGTCAGGAAGTCAACGGGCCGATCGCCACAGCTGCAGAGATCAGAGTAAAGAAAAGTTTCAGTCAACAGCTGATGATCTTCATACCTGGATAAAGGTTCGAAGTGACGTCTGACCTCTTTGTCTTAGAGGGGTCACAGAAATCTTTCTCAATGTCCTCCATGTTCTGCAGGTCTGTCCAGGTGACACCATCAAACACCTCCCACTTGTAGGGCAGGCAGAAGTGAACACGGCGGCACTCATCTACACAGAGAGACGAGAACCTCAACTACAGAACACCAGAACTTAAAATGTGAAAAGCCCAGAGGTGGAAAGAGTACAAAAATATTCTACTTAAGTAAAAGTACCATTACTTTGATGAACTTTTACTTAAGTGCAAGTAAAAAGTAGCTCAGTTCAAATGTACTCAGAGAGTAAAAGTTACTTTTTAACTCCTGAAATAACTTATTTGTACTGATTTAATATCTTATCTATACCTATTCTTAGTTAATTAAATTGCAGTCTTTTGCGATTTGATAAGGGAACAAAACCATATGGCACTTTCAATTTTAGGTGACAGATACTTTGCCAAATCAATGACGTTTAACGTTATGAGAAGTTTGAGAATGTTTTCACTTTATTAGGAAACTGTGGCGCAACAGATCGGACTCTGGCGGGACGCACTGGACTGTATATGAAGTCACGTCCCTATTTACATTCAAACAGGCGGTTAGCGTTAGTGTAATAAATAACTAGTTACAGTGAGGAAAATAAGTATTTGAACACCCTGCTATTTTGCAAGTTCTCCCACTTAGAAATCATGGAGGGGTCTGAAATTGTCATCGTAGGTGCATGTCCACTGTGAGAGACAATCTAAAAAACAAAATCCAGAAATCACAATGTATGATTTTTTAACTATTTACTTGTATGATACAGCTGCAAATAAGTATTTGAACACCTGTCTATCAGCTAGAATTCTGACTCTCAAAGACCTGTTAGTCTGCCTTCAAAATGTCCACCTCCACTCCATTTATTATCCTAAATTAGATGCACCTGTTTGAGGTCGTTAGCTGCATAAAGACACCTGTCCACCCCATACAATCAGTAAGAATCCAACGACTAACATGGCCAAGACCAAAGAGCTGTCCAAAGACACTAGAGACAAAATTGTACACCTCCACAAGGCTGGAAAGGGCTACGGGGAAATTGCCAAGCAGCTTGGTGAAAAAAGGTCCACTGTTGGAGCAATCATTAGAAAATGGAAGAAGCTAAACATGACTGTCAATCTCCCTCGGACTGGGGCTCCACGCAAGATCTCACCTCGTGGGGTCTCAATGATCCTAAGAAAGGTGAGAAATCAGCCCAGAACTACACGGGAGGAGCCGGTCAATGACCTGAAAAGAGCTGGGACCACCGTTTCCAAGGTTACTGTTGGTAATACACTAAGACGTCATGGTTTGAAATCACGCATGGCACGGAAGGTTCCCCTGCTTAAACCAGCACATGTCAAGGCCCGTCTTCAGTTTGCCAATGACCATTTGGATGATCCAGAGGAGTCATGGGAGAAAGTCATGTGGTCAGATGAGACCAAAATAGAACTTTTTGGTCATAATTCCACTAACCGTGTTTGGAGGAAGAAGAATGATGAGCACCATCCCAAGAACAGCATCCCTACTGTGAAGCATGGGGGTGGTAGCATCATGCTTTGGGGGTGTTTTTCTGCACATGGGACAGGGCGACTGCACTGTATTAAGGAGAGGAGGACCGGGGCCATGGATTGCCAGATTTTGGGGAACAACCTCCTTCCCTCAGTTAGAGCATTGAAGATGGGTCGAGGCCGGGTCTTCCAACATGACAATGACCCGAAGCACACAGCCAGGATAACCAAGGAGTGGCTCTGTAAGAAGCATATCAAGGTTCTGGCGTGGCCTAGCCAGTCTCCAGACCTAAACCCAATAGAGAATCTTTGGAGGGAGCTCAAACTCCGTGTTTCTCAGCGACAGCCCAGAAACCTGACTGATCTAGAGAAGATCTGTGTGGAGGAGTGGGCCAAAATCCCTCCTGCAGTGCAAACCTGCTGAAAAACTACAGGAAACGTTTGACCAAACAAAGGCTACTGTACCAAATATTAGCATTGATTTTCTCAGGTGTTCAAATACTTATTTGCAGCTGTATCATACAAATAAATAGTTTAAAAAATCATACATTGTGATTTCTGGATTTTTTTTTTTAGATTATGTCTCTCACAGTGGACATGCACCTGCGATGACAATTTCAGACCCCTCCATGATTTCTAAGTGGGAGAACTTGCAAAATAGCAGGGTGTTCAAATACTTATTTTCCTCACTGTACCAGCAGGTAGCTAATGCTAACCAGTATTGTCATACACCAATGTTTTTTGGCTATTTGGAGCAAAGAATCCAACCAAACTATGAAAACTTATTTTTAACCACCAATGGAAGAAGGCTATTATTTTACTGACCTCTGCATCAGGGGTCCTCAGCTACATTTGTTCTAAGCAGACACTGCAGGGGCCGGACTGTCAAAAACATTTGTAATTGCCATTTTACTGTTCAATATTTTCAACGTTTTTACTAGCTTCTATCAGTGTGAACACACTCCTTAAAAACATGGCCGGCCTAAATCCATCAGGACAAATCTACACGAGCCAACTGAACGAGAAAACGCTCTCAGAGCGCAGCCGAGGACTGATGGTTAGAATATTGTAAATGTAATTCTGCATTAATTACCTGGCTTTGACGCGATTATGCAGCTGCCCGTTATTGTGCATGAGACACCTGTAGTTACTACGGTAACAGCAGATGCCTTTTAATGCCACAGGGCTCAGAGTCTGGAGCAGCTAAACAAACTACTGTCGGGCAGTTATTGGTATTTTAAGTCCTGATCTGACTGTGAGTCTGAAGGAGCTGGTCACCTGGCTGAGCAGGTGGAGGCGTGCAGCTCTTTATCTGACAGCTCGCTGAGTCTGCTGCTGCTTTACTCACTGCAACATTTCAGCGCTGATCTCACTTAGACAGATTGCATTTCTTGACTACTTCAAAATAAAGGTCAACCTGTGTTTCGCCAGTTAGATGCTTTTAATGTGAAGCTGCAGCAGCAGGAAATGTTCAGTTTGCATCAGCCCCAACTTAATACAGATTTTTTCACACTTGACTCTGCATCATGATAAAGCCGCTGCTCTCTTGTACTTGAAGCCAAAGTTTTAAACTCCGTAACCGATGTGATTGAAAATGTAGCGAAGGACAAAACTTTAAACAAAACATACTTAACAAAAAGTAAATTAAAGATTTAAAAAACCACTTCAAAAAGTACAAGTACACAAAAAGCTACTCAATTACAGTAACGTGAGTGTAAATCGTTACACTCCACCTCTGGAAAAGGCTTCTATTAAAAAATAATTTTATTCAGCCTGCATGCCAACAACGTCACAGATCATCCGGTAACGAGTGTATGAACCAGTAAAACATTATCCAACAAATTAAAGCTGATGATATAAACACTATTATTTATAATATAAAAAATTACATAAAACTACCAAAATGAGTTGAAAATAAAATGTGTGTGAGTGAGCTCTGTGTGCAAAAGATATTTTTAAATGAAAAAAGAATCCAAACATTTCATGATGGATATTGGAGAGAATTTATTGTTGTTACACATTTAAAAGAACAAATAATGATTTTAGAGGGAGAATCTGTCTAAGCAGTTTAACCACGCAGAAGGAAAAATAATGTGTAAAAAAATTCCTCTATGTAGGAACAAATATCACAATGTTTGTTAGAGTAAAGAAATGACTGAAAGCGATAATTATTATTCATTTAAGTGAATGATGGGATTGTTCCTGAAGAGACTCTGAGAGAAGAAGAGTGTGAACGTTGCTGCTCTCTAGTGGGTTTTAAAGGGAACTGCAGGACGAGCTGAGGTGAAGCCACAGCTGATCACAGGACAGAATCAGTCTGATGAAGACGAAGATCTACTATCAAGATGAAAATACGCGGAACTGTCTTTACATGTAGATCAAGCAGAATTATCTGAGAAACTACTGTGTTAATTAAAGGTGAACTTAGTTTTCTAGACTTTAAATACTTTAAATTCCACCTTCAGTGGAAGCCACTCCCTCTCTTCTCTCAGCATTTCACAAACAAATGCTACTGGCTTGGTCTTTCATTTTTTCTCTCCTCATAGGTTTTATATTTGGAACAACACATATATTGTTTTACATTTTCTTTCTACAGCGGTATGACAAAAACATTTTTATTCTAAATAAATTATTCATCCAGCTTTTAACTACAGTGAGTTAATTCATCACTGTGGTCTCCCTGAGTCTCCATCGTCTTCATTTGGCCATCATTTCACTTCCTAAAGACTTTAATGGATTTGATGACGACACTGTTGTTGGGACAATTTATTTTTCACTGCAAACTAAAACTAAGAATAAGGCAGTTCGTCAACGTTTTTTCAATTCAACAATTCCTTAGCAGAACACCTGCTGCTTTTTCGTACTGCTCCTGTTACGGAGAGATGTGTTGGGAAAAAGTTTGGCGGTTGCTGCACAAGTTTTTTGAACCAACAAAGTTAAAGAGATCTCTTTTTAAATGCTTCACAGGTTTTACCAAACGACCCGTTACCCGCAAAAACAGAAAAAAAACTCAAGCGAAGCGCTGGCACATTTATTTTGTCCTCGCCCACGTACCAAGAAACTTTGGAACAGATCGTTATTGCTGTTTGTATTTACCCTCAATCTGCATTAGGCTGGGAAAATTCTTTGGATTCACTGAAGATGACAGAAATTAATTGTAGTGAACAACGGTGTGGATTTGTGCATTTTATATTGAATAAATTTGGAGCTATGGGGCCTGACTGTTAAACTGACAAAGGGACACAAACCAGCGTGTTTGTGTCCCCCCACACACACACGTAATCGTGGCAACTGACTTTGCTCGGTGTTTCATTACCCCATCAAAAGAAAACCCCTGTCTCACCCAAGTTGTGACATAACCCAGAAAGCCAAACTTTAAATAACCAAAGACTGCTGTCTCCAAAGACTCAGAGCATTTAATTAAATCTTTAGTTACCTGATTACGTTTGCCTCTATTTGAGTAGTTATGTTAACATGTTGTTGCTATCTGTTGTTGATATTAGTGCTGGAAAGAATCTAAATAAGTTACTTTTGCAGTGTTTTTATTTTCAGCAAGACACTCCCTCATCTAATGTAATCAATGCTTGTTCATAATACTTTCATACAAAATTCCTTTAGAAATGATGATAAAGGAATGTTTTACTATACTCTTAATCGCCAGCTTGAATTTAAGGATGAATCAACAATATTCCCAGTTCCTAAGGAGAGATGATCTTGGGTTAATCTAAGCTTTCCTCATGTAACCTGAGCTCCCCCAAGTGGACGAAATAAGTATTACATGCCCTCATCGGAAATGCCGTTAATGTATAAATATCCTGACCAATAATGTGACAATTGTTTCCTGTTACCAAATGCTTAACTTAGAACGGTACAACCGTTTGACCACTGAGGTTCGATTGTGGAAAATATTTGATTATAATACGCGCAAATACATTTATTTTCCTTTAGACATTAAGTTTAGAAAGTCGGTCCCTCGGGAAACCTGAAACGCCCTCTGGGGAACCACACCCCAGGCAACAAAAGAGCGACACACGACGTCGCTCGCTCTCTTCTCGGCTCGCTCTGCTCTGCTCTCTGGACGCTTCGGCACGCGTCCGGCGTGCCTCGCCAGGCAACGCCCTAAGAGTTCGGCCAGTGCAACCAGCCCTTTGTTCGCTTGAAGCTACACACCTGAAGTGCCGCGACATCGATCTGCCTTCAGTTTGTTTTATTTTCTTTCTTTCTTTTGTTTGTTAAAGTTATGAGTCCGTTAAGTTACACTGGACTAATTCAGGAACGACCAAGTTCCATTTTTAAGCCTTTTTCGTTGAGCCAACTTCACCGAGGTCAGACCAAGCCACGTGGTCTCGCCAGCTACAACCAAGGAAACCTGCAAACAGCCGAATTGCCAGACACGGAGAACCCCGGAGAATCCCTAGCAAAAAGCCAGGATCGGGCAGCTAGCGTGGGACCCGTGCAACAGGCCAAAAGCAGGCTGTCGACAAGCAGTAAGACTTAACACACGTTCTGTGGTCAGAGATTTCCTTTTAACTCCTAAACTCATAGCGTTAGCTTACTTTCATTAGTTATTCTTTGCCGTATGAGTCAAATGCTTCCCACAATCGAACCTCCAGGCTCATTGTAATATAATCAAGAACTGTGTGTGTTGCCTATTTCCACGTCCCTGCCAAGAGAATTGACCCTTTAGATATGAGACTGACTGACTGATTTAAGATAATTGAACGATTATTAACTAACTGATCACTAGTAATAATTGTATAATTATTAAAAACTACCTAGAGGTCCGAAAACTCTAGGATTAAAACAACTCCGGTGGTGCCCTGAAACGAGGAATAAAATTTGATTTTATGAATATTAAAATTCATAATGGAGTATTAATTCTCATAAATTTATTAAAATTCATAACAAATCTAGGTTTGCTACATAATGTTCATGATTATTTTAATCAAACCTTATCTGAACAAGTTTAAAGTTTTTAAAAAAGCCAAGCTTGGAGCTGCCAATGATAAGCCACATATTCTTTCCATATCTAAAACAAAAAAGACCTTTACAAAATATTTATCTGAATCTCTTCTTGCTTTTGTTTGTAGGTACATTTCCTATTTGATAACCCCCTAACCTCCCAGACTCAACAGATGTGGAGAAGATGTTGTTCACCTGCTGAATAAAAAGATGAAGAGGAAGCATCAGGTGAGGAAGAGGAGGCTGAACTCACTGTGGAACTTGCAGCTGTTTCTGATGAAGTGCAGACAGATATCGTTGCTGTTGTCGCTCTGATCGGCAGGTTTACAAAAAGAATCTTTCTCTGACGGAAACACAAAGACGTGCAGAGTCAGCGGCGTGCACGGATCACCTGTGCAGCAGGTGTGACCAGGTGTGTTACTGTTACCTGTGGAGGCGGCAGCAGCCGTCAGCTGGTGGATGTTCCTGTAGATGAAGGGCAGCTCCTGGATGATGTCCTCTCTCAGTCCTTTCTTCAGAAGCAAGCGGCGGCTATGTTGCTCGATGGCGTGCTGCCGGTTACACTTAAGTCCGAACATGCAGTCGCCCTGAACAAAGTGCTGACACAAGTGAACTTTGGTGCAGTTCTCCTGGAAGGTGCAGCCGCCGTGAGGACCGGAGCCTTTGTTATAGTGCTGACACACCTGAGAGAGGACGACAGGAGGACAGGAGGACGCGTCATAGCGTCCGGAGGACAGACCAATGAAAACTACTGAAAAGAGTTTCCTTTAATTATCTGTTTTCATATGAACCCATCCTCGTGATTATTAGATAAAGATCTATGAGATTAATGCAGTATCTCACAGGAGAACCCCCCCCACATGTGTAAACATCTGATTCTATCTTTTCATGTGAAGACACTGAAGAAATGTAAAGTAGTGAGCGTACAGCTTGTATAACAGTGTAAAGTAGTGAGCGTGCAGCTTGTATAACAGTGTAAAGTAGTGAGCGTGCAGCTTGTATAACAGTGTAAAGTAGTGAGCGTGCAGCTTGTATAACAGTGTAAAGTAGTGAGCGTACAGCTTGTATAACAGTGTAAAGTAGTGAGCGTGCAGCTTGTATAACAGTGTAAAGTAGTGAGCGTGCAGCTTGTATAACAGTGTAAAGTAGTGAGCGTACAGCTTGTATAACAGTGTAAAGTAGTGAGCGTACAGCTTGTATAACAGTGTAAAGTAGTGAGCGTACAGCTTGTATAACAGTGTAAAGTAGTGAGCGTGCAGCTTGTATAACAGCGTAAAGTAGTGAGCGTGCAGCTTGTATAACAGCGTAAAGTAGTGAGCGTACAGCTTGTATAACAGTGTAAAGTAGTGAGCGTGCAGCTTGTATAACAGCGTAAAGTAGTGAGCGTGCAGCTTGTATAACAGCGTAAAGTAGTGAGCGTGCAGCTTGTATAACAGCGTAAAGTAGTGAGCGTGCAGCTTGTATAACAGCGTAAAGTAGTGAGCGTGCAGCTTGTATAACAGTGGAAAGTAGTGAGCGTGCAGCTTGTATAACAGTGTAAAGTAGTGAGCGTACAGCTTGTATAACAGTGTAAAGTAGTGAGCGTGCAGCTTGTATAACAGTGTAAAGTAGTGAGCGTGCAGCTTGTATAACAGTGGAAAGTAGTGAGCGTACAGCTTGTATAACAGTGTAAAGTAGTGAGCGTGCAGCTTGTATAACAGCGTAAAGTAGTGAGCGTGCAGCTGGTATAACAGCGTAAAGTAGTGAGCGTACAGCTTGTATAACAGTGCAGCTTGTATAACAGTGGAAAGTAGTGAGCGTGCAGCTTGTATAACAGCGTAAAGTAGTGAGCGTGCAGCTTGTATAACAGTGTAAAGTAGTGAGCGTACAGCTTGTATAACAGTGTAAAGTAGTGAGCGTGCAGCTTGTATAACAGTGCAGCTTGTATAACAGCGTAAAGTAGTGAGCGTGCAGCTTGTATAACAGTGTAAAGTAGTGAGCGTACAGCTTGTATAACAGTGTAAAGTAGTGAGCGTGCAGCTTGTATAACAGATTTACACTGTTTTACAAGCTGTACGCTCACTACTTTACACTGGTGCAAAGGGTCATTTCTTCAGTGTCGTCACATGTGGGGGGTGGGGACTCACTTTTGAGAGAGCCTGTACATATTTACATACATCAGTTTCAGAGCGGGTAAAGGTCTCTTATTTATGAAATCCAGATGTGTTTCTGATGATATTGACTCTGTTAGCATCTGGATCCTGTGACTCTCACATTATGGCATCACAATATAAACATGCAGATCTGAGGTCACTGCAGGAGGAACTGTGTAAGTATGAGATCTCAAAATGGCACAAAAAAGTATAATGAGAATTATTTTTGATTAAATGACGAAATGTATTACAGGTGATTAACTTCGTTGTAATGAGTTATTACAGAAACGTGAACGAACCTGGACGTAGACAGAAATTTCCCTCAGTCACCTGGAAACTTTTACACTTTTTATTTTTTGTTTTTGGTCTTTTTTCTTTAACTTTGTTTAAAACTCAGCCTCTTCAGGGTTCTCTTCTTCTTCTTCTTCTTCTCTCTTCTTCACCTTTTCATTCTCACTGCGTTAACACCTGAAGCCTGTTCTGACATTTGTTTTATCCAATCAGATTGCAGGATCCTCCTCTGTGTTCCCGTCCTCAGAAACCAGGACAGAAGCTAATCTGGCTCCTCCATCTCCGGAGGAGGAGGAAACGAGTGAAATGAGAGGAAGAGAAGAAACAAGCTGCAGTTTAAATAAAGAAGAAGAAGCTGTTTTGGACATTTTACAGTGTAGAAACACCTGCAGCGCCCTCTGGTGGAGACGCAGCTCAAACTACCTCTCTGTGTGTTTGTTTCTCACGGCCACCTGTAATCAGTGGGACAGGCGGGTTAGGTTTAGGCAATGTGTGTCAGGTGAGCGTCAGGTGAGTGTCAGGTGAGTGTCAGGTGAGTGTCAGGTGGGCCAGGTGAGCGTCAGGTGGGCCAGGTGAGCGTCAGGTGAGCGTCAGGTGAGCGTCAGGTGAGCGTCAGGTGAGCGTCAGGTGAGCGTCAGGTGGGCCAGGTGAGTGTCAGGTGAGTGTCAGGTGAGCGTCAGGTGAGCATCAGGTGAGCGTCAGGTGGGCGTCAGGTGGGCGTCAGGTGAGCGTCAGGTGAGCGTCAGGTGAGCGTCAGGTGGGCGTCAGGTGAGCGTCAGGTGAGCGTCAGGTGAGCGTCAGGTGGGCCAGGTGAGCGTCAGGTGAGCGTCAGGTGAGCGTCAGGTGGGCCAGGTGAGTGTCAGGTGGGCCAGGTGAGCGTCAGGTGAGCGTCAGGCGAGCGAGGTGAGCGTCAGGCGAGCGTCAGGTGAGCGTCAGGTGAGCGTCAGGTGGGCCAGGTGAGCGTCAGGTGAGCGTCAGGTGGGCCAGGTGAGCGTCAGGTGAGCGTCAGGTGAGTGTCAGGTGAGTGTCAGGTGGGCCAGGTGAGTGTCAGGTGAGTGTCAGGTGGGCCAGGTGAGTGTCAGGTGAGTGTCAGGTGGGCCAGGTGAGTGTCAGGTGAGTGTCAGGTGAGTGTCAGGTGGGCCAGGTGAGTGTCAGGTGGGCGTCAGGTGAGCGTCAGGTGAGCGTCAGGTGAGTGTCAGGTGGGCCAGGTGAGTGTCAGGTGGGCCAGGTGAGCGTCAGGTGAGCGTCAGGTGAGTGTCAGGTGAGCGTCAGGTGGGCCAGTTGAGTGTCAGGTGGGCCAGGTGAGTGTCAGGTATGTGTCAGGTGAGCGTCAGGTGAGCATCAGGTGTGTGTCAGTCAGGTGGGCCAGGTGAGCGTCAGGTGGGCCAGGTGAGCGTCAGGTGAGCGTCAGGTGAGCGTCAGGTGAGCGTCAGGTGGGCCAGGTGAGTGTCAGGTGAGTGTCAGGTGAGTGTCAGGTGGGCCAGGTGAGTGTCAGGTGAGCGTCAGGTGAGCGTCAGGTGAGCATCAGGTGAGCGTCAGGTGAGCATCAGGTGAGCATCAGGTGTGTGTCAGTCAGGTGGGCCAGGTGTGTGTCAGGTGAGCGTCAGGTGAGCGTCAGGTGAGTGTCAGGTGAGTGTCAGGTGGGCCAGTTGAGTGTCAGGTGGGCCAGGTGAGTGTCAGGTATGTGTCAGGTGAGCGTCAGGTGAGCATCAGGTGTGTGTCAGTCAGGTGGGCCAGGTGTGTGTCAGGGGTGTGTCAGGCGGTCCAGGTGTGTGTCAGGTGGGCCAGGTGTGTTACCTCTGGCAGGAGAGCAGGGTCGTTCTGCAGCAGCAGCAGGAACAGCTGGTCTTCGTTGAGCTCGTGCAGCGTGCACTCTCTCAGTAATCCGTAGTTGTGATCAGAGTAAATGTCGTGGGAGAATTTACACGACTTCCTGCGACAAACGACAGCAACGTCAACGAGATCAGACACGAGCTGCTCCGTGACACTACTTCATATTTACACAGGAAGCGGACACAACAGCAGCTATGAAACAAGTCAGCACAGCTTTGTCCTGATCGATCCCAACTTTAGAAACAGGCATTTTAAAAGATGTTTGTTTTCATCTCGCTGACAGACCTGACGAAGCATGAAGTCAGATGTTACACAAATCAGCATCATGATGGAGTTACTTCAGCTTCATTTTGATAATTTAATAAAGCACCTCAAAACAGCAGAGTACAGTGATGTCACTCAGCTAGCTCTCACACTTCATGTCAGTGTGCAACTGGATTATCACATTAAACACAAGTACTGGACCGGGACTCAGCAGATCCTCAACATTAAATGACTTTAGTTGTCCTCTCATCACATCACTGACGTTAGTTCACTTTCATTTCTCTGTAAATCAGGAAGCCTCACACACAGTCAGCTGTTCCGGTAACAAAAGGTCATGATGTCATCACCTGGATGTTTGTGTTTAACAGACTGAAGAAAATATATTCATGAGAGGAATGACTTTCTGCTGGATCACGCTGAGGTCCTACTGTGACCCTTTATCTCTTTACCTTCTGAATTTAAGGAGGATCTCTCCATCCTTTGTTCTTCAGAGGCTGAAACAGCTGTTTTTATACGACTGTTCAATTTGCTCTGATGTTCAGGATCAATAACACACCTTCTTTTACATAATATACTTTATATATATATATCTGTGTGTGTGTGTGTGCGCGCGTGCTGCAGTTTCATTTCTGGCCCTCATGTTTACATAAACTCCGACTTGTTTCCCTCCTGTGTAATAAAACAGCTGATGTGCAGAGAAACTTTCTGTTTCCTTAACTTTCGATTCGTCTCTGCGCGGCTTGTTTGTATCACTCCGCAGGAAATAGTCCGCTTTCAGTTAGAAGTTTAATAAAACGGCGGAGCAGAGCGGAATCTATGGACATTTTACTGTGTTTTACAACTACGGAAACCTGGAAGCAAAGAGGCACCCAGCGGTTTAACTGACCAGGATCAAGTCCGGAGTTTCGGGCTGAACTTGTTGTTTTCTGACTGCGACACTGACACACCTGCGCGCGTGCTCACCTGCCCTCGGCGAACCTGCAGTTCCCGTAGACAAAGAACTTGCAGAGGTGCAGCTGCTGGCAGCCCCCCCCGCCGCACTTCCCCCCGCCGTACTTCCCCCCGCCGTAGCCGCTGCACAGCCGCAGGGACGTCCTGGCGACCACCGCGCGGTCCTCCAGCCGCTCCCCTACCAGCAGGAAGCGGGAGCACCGGCTGATGATGAAGCAGAACTCTTCCTCGGTGATGCTGCAGCGCTGCAGCAGCTTCTGGTGCAGCTGCAGCACCTGCATGGCTCCGCTGTTGCTGCACAGCAGGCTGGTGGCCAGCTGGACCTCGGTGCTGTAGGCAGACATGGTACTCGGACCAGCTGCTGGGCTCATCTGAGGAGGAGGGAGGAAGCGCAGGGAGGTACCTGCGCGTCCTCACCTCCGCCCCAGACTGTCAGAATAAAAGCATGGATCCTGACAGCCAATCACAAGCTGTTGTCTTTTGAAATCTTGTTTCATTGTTATTCATTATTTCAGGCAGTTTTTCTGATTTATTGGCCTTCATCATTTTACTTTAGCTTGGTCAGCGTCACCATGCATGGACTCAGATCACTAAAGTGGAGCAGTGACTCTGATTCATTGTTGATCATTAGTTAGATTAAATATATGAAACTGCACACGCACATCCAGGGAGGGAAGAGAGAAAATAAAAACAGGAAGTAAAGGAGAACAAAGATATCAATCAAACAACTGTTAGATTTCACTAAAAGAAAAGGTGAAACTCCAGGTTATTTTATGTACAGAGCATGTGAGCACACTGTCTCTCCATCCACCCTGAAGCACTGTGCGAGGACCACTGGACTGAACGACTACAGACCCGTCGCCCTGACCTCTGTGGTTATGAAGCCCTTTGAACGCCTTGTGTTGTCCCACCTAAAATCCATCACAGACCAGATCCTGGACCCCCTGCAGTTTGCCTACAGAGCCAACAGGTCTGTAGATGATGCAGTAAACGTGGCCCTTCACTACATCCTCCAGCACCTGGACTCCCCAGGAACCTACGCCAGGATCCTGGTTGTGGATTTCAGCTCTGCTTTTAACACCATCATTCCGGCCCTGCTGCAGGACAAGCTCTCCCAGCTGAGCCTGCCTGACTCCACCTGCAGGTGGATCACTGACTTCCTGACGGACAGGAAGCAGCACGTGAAGCTGAGAAAACAAGTCTCTGACTCCAGGACCATCAGCACCGGATCCCCTCAGGGCTGCGTTCTTTCCCCTCTGCTCTTCTCCCTGTACACCAACAGCTGCACCTCCAGTCACCAGTCTGTCAAGCTCCTGAAGTTTGCGGATGACACCACCCTCATTGGGCTCATCTCTGGTGGGGATGAGTCCGCCTACAGGTGGGAGATTGACCATCTGGTGACCTGGTGCAGCCAGAACAGTCTGGAGCTCAACGCTCAGAAGACAGTGGAGATGGTCGTGGACTTCAGAGAGAGCCCAGCCCCACCCTCCCCCATCATCCTGAGTGACTCCCCAGTCACCACTGTGGACTCCTTCCGCTTCCTGGGCACCATCATCTCCCAGGACCTCAAGTGGGAGCTGAACATCACCTCCCTCACCAAGAAGGCCCAGCAGAGGATGAACTTCCTGTGGCAGCTGAAGAAGCTGCCAAAGACAATGATGGTGCACTTCTACACCGCCATCATTGAGTCCATCCTCACCTCCTCCATCACCATCTGGTACGCTGCTGCCACCGCCAGGGACAAGGGCAGGCTGCAGCGCATCATTCGCTCTGCAGAGAAGGTGATTGGCTGCAATCTTCCTTCTCTTCAGGACCTGTACGCCTCCAGGACTCGGAGGCGAGCAGGAAAGATTGCAGCTGGACACAAACTGTTTCTTCCCGTTGCTGCTCAACAAAGACCCCCTCTGACTCTGACTCTGACTCTCCTGGGCCCTTCCCCTCCCCCGTTAATGTTTGCACAATTCATTTATTGCACATGTAAATACTTGTATATGTTCTATCAATCTCATATTTTTTAGATATCTTTATATTCATAGGTTTATGTTTATCACCAAATCAAATTCCTTGAATGTATAAAACCAACTTGGCAATAAATCCTAGTGTGATTCTGATTCTGAAACATGAAGCAGTTTGTAAATGTTACTTTAAATTGTTCATAGTTTTTAATCTTTGATGAGAAAAACACTAGAAACACAGAGCGTGAATCTTCAACATGGTTTGATGGTTTATTCAATATTTAACTTCACACTTTTACATGATTCTTCACTTTGTTTTTCATTATCTGCACAAAAATCTCAGTTTAAAATGTTAAATGTCGCATCTGTCCTGACCAGAAATGCAGTTGAAAGAAAGAAAGAAAGTCAAACACACCAAACTGAAGGAGCTCTGTCAGCAGCAGGTTTAAGACACTTTGTGGAACTAAAAGTGGTTTTATTGTAATCAGGAGGAAAAGAGTTGGCAATCTTCACTAGTGGGATTTAACACAGAAGTGTCATGAATGCATCATCAGTGTTGGTTGACAGGCGGCGTTGAACTGGTGCTACAGTGAGTCCTCATCAGTCGGATGGTTTTGGGAGGCAGTTGGGGTCTCAGGACGCAGTCTGCGATGAACATCGTTTGAAGCTGGTCAGAGGACTTTCAGTCCACAGAGGTATGAAAACAGTTGTGAGGGTTCCAGTCCAGCGGTGAGCAGCAGCAGTTTCTCCCTCAGCCGTCCTGCAGCAGGTCGTACGATCCTCCGTTCACCACCTCGTGTTTGTCCTCCGCCTGCAGACAGACAGTAGGTCTGCAGTTAACACGGCTAACTGCTTCATTCTGTCATACTGTTCTTCTGCTGATCTCCAACAGTCGTCAGGCGTGAAACTATGTGACTTATTTTTAGTATAAATCGTTTGTTCAATAACTGTAAAAATGTCAGCTTCAAATATTTAAAACCCCCAAATTGGTTTCA